CTGTTACTGTCTCCTTGATTCTGACATGTGATGGCTCCCCACGTGGGCCAGAATAAAGCTGTGTTCCATAGACTTTCAAATGATGATCTTTCAGAAGGAAGTTGCCAAGCCTCTCTGTCGATGTGCCTCTGAGTAGAATCAAGCCTCCAGACATTATAGTCTCACTGGGGATTCATTAATTATTTGTACCATTCAAGGATTCCAACATTAAAAATTACCTGTATGAAATTCTCTCAAAATATTCTGTTCACTTATTTTTAACACACACCTAATTTAGAACCCATGTGAAAGAATCATTAGTCAATTTACATAGCAGAAATGGTGTAAGGATAATGAGAAATTGCTTAATATTTCACAGAATAAAAACTTATTAATTAATTAATTGGAGTGACTCTTGCGTGCACACTCCCCCGCCCCTTCTAAATATTAAGGACTGGATGTTTATACTTAGGTGGGACCCAGTGTTCTCTGTCTCTATCGGCAGTTCTTAACAACAGCTGAGCGGCAGTGTGTGTAGTTATGTTATTACCTGTTTGTGACTAAGGCATTTTCTCCCAGCTGTCATTTTTTTACGTGACTGCTTGTGAAAGTGAAATGATGCAATGTTGTCATCTCCCGATTCTAGTGTTTTCCATAATTAGGACATTATTTCCTCAATATTTCCCACTCAGCAGACTCATGCTGTTGTTCATAGGTAACGTTGAGTTGGTCTTGACTTGTCATGACAACAGCATGAGATACTGGTCAGTATCATCTTGTACCATCTTCCCAATCACTGTCATGTTCATTGCTGGAGTCTCTGTGTCTGACTGGCTCTTTGAGGAACTTCTTTTTTGCTGACCATTTATTTTAAGAAGGGTGTGGTGTTTTTCTCCGGGGAGTAGGTCTCTCCATATGTCCAATGTACTTCAAACAGTCTCTCTACTCTCACTTGAAAGAAGCTTCTTCTAAGATAGATTTGCTTATTCTTCTGGCAGGCTATGGTGTATTAATGGTCTTCACCACTAACACAATTCAGAAACATCAATTCCTCTTTAGTATTCCTTATTCACTTGGAATGATTAGGAGGTGTTTGAAACATCTATGCATTGGCTCAATTGCACCTTAGTTTTCAAAATTTTATCTTTATTCACCTCATTACAACTCTTCAAAGAAATCTTACAGCCAATCTGTGTAATATAATAAATAAGTCATATGATTTCCTGACTGCTACATCCATTGGACATTGTGTATTAAAGGAAAATAAAATCCTGGGCTGTTTTAATCTTTTCTCCATTTAACCTGATGATGTTACATACTGATCCATTTGTGAGAAATTTTGTTTTCTTTATAGTGAGGGGTATTCTGGCATCAATTTGATGATCTCTTTTTTTATTTCCCATGTTTTAATAACCTCCTTTATAATTTCTTTTCATGGATTTCCCTAATTTTTTCCTATGCATATTCTACCTGTTGAGTTTCAGATGTAACTTGCTGTTTATGTTGCTTAAGAATGGTATTTGCAGTGAATACATTGTTAGTCTTGCAGAATTCTATCTTGTGACTTCTGATGTCCTTTCAAAGCCGTAACTTCTGACTGATGGTCCTCTTTGTTTTCACCTTTCACGTTCCAGTCTCCAGTACACATCAGTACATATTGATTGTATATTTGATCAGTTTCCATCCTACAAAAATACGTAAAAATCTTGCCCATCTTTATTCTTAGTGGTTGGTGGGTAACCTTAAATAGTTGTCATTTTAACTGGTCTTCCATACGATCTTACAGGTATTATTCTGTCACTGACAGCATTGTACTTCAGGATAAATCTTGAAAGGCTCTTTTGCATGATCAATGAAAAGCTACTTCTCTTCCATTTGTCATTCTCCATGTAATAGATCATGTGATTGTTTCAGTCAGCATGGCCAATACTAGTTCATTTCAGCTCACTAATGTGCAGAATTTTGATCTTCGTGTGTTCCAATAACATTCTGACGACCGAGATGTGTCCTGGCTTTGTCTCCATGTTAGTATTATTTATGGATATCTGCCACTTTCTTTTGGGTTTTGAGTCCTGCCAGAAGGTGAGCCCTTCAGGAAGGCAATCAAAATGTGACTAGGGAAGAGCTACTGCCTCAAAAATGGAGTTAATCTTAATGACATAGACATAAGCCTTGAAGAAGCATTATGCTTGGAAAGGAGGAGGGTCAGAGAAAGAGAGAGGGAGACCCTCAACGCAATGGATTGACACAGTGACTGAAAATGTGTTTGAGCATGTCAGAGATGGTACGTTTAGAATAGCACAGGATAGGGCAAGGCTCAGGACTGATCATTGGGTTGTTACAACTTGTCATCAACTTACTGGACCCTAACACCAATAACATAATGGCAGAGATGGACAGAGCTTCCAGAATCTTTATTCATTGATGAGACAGGACTCAAAATGAGAAGAAGCAAGAGAATCCTCAATACATCTTACTAACTTGTTCATTGTTTTTCTGGTAGGGTACTGGTAGGTAGAAACAAACCACAGGCAAGAGTTAGGAAAGAGATTTTGCAAATGATATTTGGTGCTAAAGTATCAGTATGACCTATTATAGAATCTCATCTCGTTTTAATAGTAAGACAATTGGTATTGCTCTAAGTAAGACTTCTAGTATCGTCATTATTCTTTTTCACCTGAGGAAGTTTTATCTTCAGATAAAAATTTGTCTTAACCTATTGCTGTGGGGTTAATTCCAATTCATAGTCACCCTGTAGGACAGAGTAGAGCTGTTGCATACAATTGCTGAGGCTGTAAACCTTCAGCAGGGAGAGAGTGCCCACCTTTCTTTCAAGGAACATCTGGTAGATTCAAACTACTGATAATTAAAATTCTATTAGTAACTCAATGCTCCTCGAAGAAGCAGTATTATACTGCAAACTGCAGCTTACTCAGGTGAAGCAGGACTTCTCTTTGTCCAGTTTGCTTGAATTATATGTTTGGTATCAGATGATACTTTATGGCAAAAAAGGGGGGAAGAATCTTTATATAATAGTCATGTATATAATAGTCACTTTGTTTGGATTGTTTTTCAATTATCTTATTAGAAATATGAGACTTATTTGCTTCAGCTAAACTCATTTACCCATTCATTCAGTTGTCATTTATCAAGACCTTACAGCTGAGCTAAGTGCTTCAGTGTTCATTTTTCAATCCTATCTTCTTTATCTGCCAGGAGCTTCTAATACAAGGATGGATAGATAAGGTTTACATGTAAGTAGCTGTAAGAGGGAAATGAGATAAACTACTGTAAAATGGATAAAATAATTACTATAATTGCTTAGAAGAGGAAGCTATCCCTTTGAATATGTTACAACTGGAAAACATACACAGGAAATTGCAAGTTGAAAATCTGTTGGGAAACAGTATAGAACCTATAGGAAACTGTGGCATCCTCAACTGTAATTTCTGTTCTAGTGTCTTTGTGGACCCTCTTTGTGGACCCTCTTGCCCCATTATTTGTCTTTTTAAGTATTATGAATTATGGAGAAAAATGTAGGCCTAGAAGTGCCAAAAATTGAAAAAAAAATCACATGGTTATGATACAAAATTCATTCTAATGATCAAGTAAATTGTAGCAATCCACATTTTGGTAAAGACTGATTTAGTCTTTGTATAGGCAACCCCTGGGTTAGGAAAGTTTGACTTGGTGTCATTTCATACTTGCCCTTTAATATTAGGTAAATTTTGCCTCACTTTGAAAGGATTGAACTAATGTCTACTCTCAACAAATTCCTTCTCATAATCACCTTCCCTTGCTGCCCGTGCAGCTTTTAAACCATCAAAAAGAATTTGCGGTTTTAATGGATTCCAACTCATAACAATCTTACAGGACAGAGTAGAACTGACCCATAGAGTTTTTCAAGACTACAAATCCTTATGGAAGTGGACTGACTCATCTCTCTGGAGCAGCTGGTGGGTTCTTACCCTTGACCTTTTGGTTAACAGTCCTGTGCTTTAACCACTGCCCCCAGGGCTCCTTTTTCTTGTTGGAAAGAAGATTAGATGTGAACTTAGTCACCTTTTCTGACTGACCTTCTAAATTTTTAAAGACACAGGAAAGAATCTTGTTCCATAACCTGAGGAATGCTTGTCTGTGATTGAACAATGTGAGAAATTGTTTACTCTCTCTCTCTCTCTCATCAGTTATGTACAGTGTTCTGCTGGTTAAGATGTTAGTCATTTAAACCAAGGACAGTGGCCATTTTTACTGTAGCAGTTTTCATTTGTTCTACATGAGCCTGCAAAAGTCCATTCGAGTTTGGCTTTTAATTTACAGTTTGATGGAAAATATTTAAGATAGGTGGTGGTTGGCATTCTTTGGACCAGTCATGCATGGGTTTTTCTCTTATTTTCCTTCAAATACTGGTAACACATGACTGACTTTTTGAGAACTGCCAAGATTTGCAATTCAGAATAACAGGCACTCCCAAATGCAAAAGGCAAGTGCAGAAACTCTTGTATCCGAAATCTTCCCAGTTGCCCAGCCTATGATGCATGGAAGCTAACCTTTCCTTATTAGTTACCTTTATTCCCTTGGAAAGAGGAGAGATGCTGTTTCAGCAGCCGACCAGCTGGTTTAAGACTGAGAACTGCCTGAGTCATTCACAAATACACGCCCATTCCATGTTCCACACTGTGATAGCCACCAAATCATCAGCTTTGTCCTGCTTAAAACATTTTAACCATAGAGGGCCATATAGAGTTTGTTCAGAAATATAATACCGATGAGCCAGAAAATGATTTCTTATTTTTACTGAAAGAATCAAATTTTTCTACATCATTTAAACAGTTGTGATTTCCCCCGCCCCCTTGTTGTTGGGTTTTTGGTTGTTTTTTTTTTTTAGAATTTGTTAGTTATGCTTTAATTCACCTCCTTAGTAGGAAGTGTTGGTAAATACACCAGCATTCAAACAGGAGGAGATTGTGTGCACCATGGAAATATTACATGTGTAATCATTTGTATCCTTAATGTTCTAGAACCCTGGGGTTATTAGTAAAACGACTGGAGAAAGGTGGTAAAGCTGAACAAGAAAACCTCTTTCATGAGAATGATTGTATTGTCAGGATTAATGATGGCGACCTTCGGAATAGAAGATTTGAGCAGTAAGTGTGTGCTGGTTATTCCCCCACCCTCCCATGCTTTCCCTGTGATGAAGTGTCCTCAGTGGGAATACTTCATACAGCATGTCTCTGCTCTCTTTCTTTTTACCAGAGTGGGGTATTTTCTGCCATTATCTAGCATTTTAAAATTTCCTCAAAGTCAAGGTAATTACTACCACTGGTCTGTATTTCAAAATGCCCTGTGACTGAATAATTTTAAAAATATTATTAGTCTAATTTCAGCTTTATAATCTTGCTACTTCTTCCCTTTTTGAAAAATTGACTAGTGTGCTACTTTTTATTATACTGTAATTCACATTTCTAAGTTTGAAAGATAGATAGATAGATAGATAGATAGATAGATAGATAGATCATCTCTCACTTATATGTAAACAGTAACCACCTCATTTGAGACACTTGGTTGGAAACACATTTTCTTTAGTGTAGTTCAAGTTCTTATTTAACTTAAGAAAAGCCATTCTTATTTAAAAGTATGTACAGAGGCGAAATAATAAGACATAGGAAAACTCCAGAGTCTGATGAACTGCTTCTCCACTATGTTCTGGATCATAAGATCACACTTTTCTGGAGCATGTGATCACACTGGGACCAGAACTGTTAACATTGTATCATGTAGGCAACATTTATGTTCTTGCAGCTTTTTTCATGCAGGGGTTTATATCAGTTATTGCTGATAATGACTGGGTAGTTGCTTTGTACAGCATTAGTTTCCTAAGTAGAAGTTTGCAGGGCTTTCTCTGAAAATTCAAATGGTCTGCCACAGATAGAGTCAATGGATGGATGGATAGATGGATGGATAGATACATAGATAGACCGACCAACAATGAAAAAAAGCAAAAGACCCGCACAGGAATGATTTCTTAAATATTTGCCAATCTCCAATCTTAATATAAGTAATCCTTATTTTTTTAAATTCATTGTTGCATGTTTTGTGCCCCCTAAGAGCCCATCCCGCAGTGCACCGCATGTAGCAGATTATTGTTTTCATATTTATAATGCATAATCATATATTCCTTTCTAACAGTTCTCCCCCTCATGTGTTCTAATGCAGTGTTCATTATCCAGTCTTTATATTTTTTTATTTTTATTGCATTTTTTAAAAATTTTACCTTGGTTTGTATACAAAGTTCACATACATTGTGTTTCATGCTATTCTTCATTCACATTATGTTTAATAAAATTATTTTCATTTGTGATGTTTTATTAAATCAATGACCATTAAAGCATGCCCTTCATTACCCTGTCTTCCGAGACCCCTGCTGGATCTTTCACATTTTCTTTACCCCCCTCTCCCTCCACCTACCAAATTGTGCAACCCTATGATTTCCCCACTGTTCACCCTCATCCTTCTGTTCCCTTCCTCCCCCGCTCCTGTATCCTCATACACGTTTTACTAGTTATTCTTCTGTTTTCCATAATAATGGTCCTGTGCAGTATTTATCCTTATGAAACTGAGTTAGTTCCCTCAGCATAATGCCCTCCAGTCTCTCCCAAGTTATGTAGTAATTTTCATATGTATTTTTTAAATAATTTCTGAAAAAGATATTGGATAAAATTTTACAGATGTTTTCTTTCTGTTAACATTGAATTATAATGCCTCCTAAAACTGTTGTTTAATGAGTTATGGCTGAGACACAGCCTTTTATCGGCAGTAGTATTTAATTCTGCCATTTTAATTTAGAGAAGGGGAAATTTACATGTGGAGAAGCAGCTCGGCTTAAACCAGAGCCTGCAAACTTGATTGATAAATGGGTTATTAGTATTTTGTTTTTTCACTTTCAACAGAGTCTGTCAGTTCTTGTAGCTTAATTAGTATATGCAATTAAGCTCATAATATCGTCTAGCCTGCCAGTCTTAATTTGCTAATTTTCCATTCTTTCTAAAACCCAGAGCACAACATATGTTTCGCCAAGCCATGCGTACACCCATCATTTGGTTCCATGTGGTTCCTGCCGCAAATAAAGAGCAGTATGAACAACTCTCCCAAAGTGAGAAGAACAGTTACTATTCCAGCCGCTTCAGCCCTGACAGCCAGTATGTGGATAACCGGAGTGTGGGCAGTGGAGGGCTTCACGGAGTCCCCCGAGTACCCAGACTGAACCAGCCACCTGAGCAAATAGACTCTCACCCACGACTACCTCATAGTGCAAACCCCGCTGGGAAACCGCCCTCAGCTCTGGCTCCAGCACCACAAAATATATTTAATACGAATGTAAGCAGTGGTTATAACACCAAAAAAATAGGCAAGAGACTTAATATCCAGCTTAAGAAAGGTATGGCCCATCTTATTCTATTCTTAACAAAATTTGCTTTAAAATCAATCCAAGTAAAAACAAAAATCATACTAACCTCAAGCACCCTAACTTTAATCCTGTTTATGCTAATGAATATTGACAATTTTTTTTTCTAAAAAACACAGCTTTAGTATATGGTTATGAAAATAGTTAAAAAATGATTTTTTTTCTATTTTCGGACTAATTTTTCAGTATGTAATAATTGAGATGAATTGGAAATAAAAAATAGTTTTGCAAATAACAATATGGAACAGAACAAATACTGTGGATAAAAAGGAGAGGGGAAGAAAAGGGGAAAAAATAATAAACAGAGAAGGGAATAGCAGTATACAATAAGGATTTACTTAGACATTGTAATAGGTTAATTTGCTTATGAATGACTGTCTAGATAAAACCAGAGTGATTTGCAAACTTTCATTCAAGTAAAATAGATTTTAAAAGTTAGTTTATCCTGAGAAAGTGGCAGCTAACTGGTAGTAGTTGAACATGAAACATGACATGTTGGGATATCACCATTGAACCCTAACACATGCGGTGCTGTTTTGATTGGCCCACTTTGCAAAATACCACCTTCCAATTCACTGTCATTGTTTTGATGAAGGTGAATGACCCTTCGTTTAAGCCTCTCAATGGCTTATCATAGAAAGCTCAAAAGTGAAGTCATGGACGTCTTGTCTCCTGCTTTTTCCTAAATAATAAATTGCTTTCCAATTTTAAGATGACAAGAGAAGTGTTAATGTGGTTGCTAATTTTCTGTTAGGCATTGCTTAACAGTAATTTTTACTTATGTGTATCTCTCTGGTATCCTTTATAATACAGAAAGCATACCTTTTCTGTTCATCCTGCATATCTCTGAGCTGACTGCTAGGTATGATTTTAGTAGTGTTTACCCACTGACATTGATGTGGACTTTACTGTTCAACATCCATTTTCACCTAAGCACTCTAATATTCTTTTTAATGATGCCTTTTTTGAAGAACATTTCTCTTTATTTGAAGTCAGCCAACTCCTAGTTGGATGCAGATGGACCCAAGAGAGGTTGAGTGACTTGGTCAATCCACATGGTTGCTGGGAGCAGTCTTCCTTGAACTTGCATATCTTGACAGTCACACATTTGGCAAAAGGGTTTCCAAGGCTGTATTCTCTAAGACTACTGCTTCCTTTCAAAATCATGTTCTTTCATTGAACTTTTTGTGAACCACAAGTTACATATTTCTGGTGACTGAATTTTCAGCTCCAGATACTTGTTTGACATGAGTTGGAGCTGACAGCTTGCCTCCACTTTTAATACTGCTTATATAAGAGTATAAGCAAATAACAAGAGACATATCAGCCTAAAACCTCTTAGCACTTTCAGCTCCTAAATTGGGAAAATATTAACTTCTCTTTCTTTGATTGCCTCTATTCAAATGGAAAGCACTAGTTTTTAGTTAAACTCACATCTAACAACTTCACAAAGAAGTATATGAAAAGTAAAATTTTGTTCAGGATCTGTCAACAAAGATAACATGTTTTATTAGGTTTTTTAATATTAGTTTGTAAAGATTTGCCCTTGTCAGTGATGACAAAAATTAATGAAATACACCATAATGTGGATTAATCTAGAAGAAATTATATTGAGTGCCATAAGTCAGTCTCAAAACATGAATGTTTTTTAAGACCACTTTTGTAGAAATCTAGGGAAAAGTTATATACAGAATCATTCTTGATTGGATAGCTGAGAAGGAAGAGTGAGGGAAGGACAAATTAATAGGGAAGAGATCCTATTAAGTCAGATGAAAGGAAAAGCAATATACAATAAGGGTTTGATAAGACTTTTTTTTTGGTAATTTTTTTAAATTTTTATTTTATTATTTTTGTGTGAGTGTACCGTCAAATCAGATCTGACTGGTACAGGAGGAGATTGTCCCTCCTTCCCCGGCAGAGCATCTGGTGGATTCGAACCGTGAGCCTCTGTGATTGTAGTTGCAGCTCCTTACCACTAGGCCACCCTTGATAAGACATTTTTGTTAATCAGTTGATTAATTCCATTAATTATAATTGTAATCAATGCTATAAAACAAAATGTATATGGTTGAATGGAAAACAAATTGTAAGATTTTACTCTAATAACTAAAGATAAAGCCCCCATATTTGTTCTTATTCACTGATATACAGATATCAGTGAAATGAATAAACTTTTCTTCAGTTATTGTATTTAACAAATCATGACATTAATATAGTTTCTTAAATAATGTGAAGTTTTATTTGACATTAAAAGGTAAATAAATAATAATTTACCTGAATACTGGGATTAGACATTTTTTAAAATAACATTTAAAAAGATTTAATTACATTTTATACTAACTTAGCATACCAGTGCTTAATCAATATGAGAAAAATAGAAACCATGATTTCCATTTAAACATTTTATTCTGACCTTGAATTATCTAAATGATGTAGCACTCCGTACATCTATCTTGATTTTAATCTAATAACTGTGAGAATGAAAGGAGCAAACAGCCTGTGTTTGCTGCCAATACTTTCAGTGTGGTTTGTAAAATGAATTATGTTTACTCTATATGTGAATGCAACAATTACTGATTTACTGATTAGTTCTAAATACAGATATTTTAATAATAGTGATTTTATGGAAATTGAATACGCTTTTGTTACGGCTTGCAGATAATAATCTTGCCAGTTATTAACATTAAATTTAATATTTTTGTGAGGTACATAACACACATAGGATGTACAAACATTAATTCAGTTCAATGTGAGCTAATGTGTTTGGAGTGATAACGGTTCTTATAAAAACAGAAATCAACAGTTAGTGCTAAAAATGTAGCTTTAATGATTCTTTGGTGTACTTTTAGATCTGTGCCATATAACAGGACAAAATAGAATAGTCCCTAAATACTTGCTTCTATAATTATGATTTCTTAATATTTATTGCCATGTTGGCTTTCTCAAATACCCTGCTCTTTTGTAGAAATTAGCTTTTTAATAAAGTCAGAGGAGAAGGTCAGTAATCTGTTTCAGTCAGTGCAAAATGTTTTGTTGGCTTTGCTAAATGAAAATTGATATCTATTTATCTTTCTTTTAAAGGTCATTGCCTGAACTTTTAGCTTACAGATTTAGGGGTTATTGCTGATATTTTAATAGTATTGAGGCTCATATAACAGTCAGCCTTTGTAGTTCATACAAATTAATTTTGCAAAAGAAGAATAATTTAGAATCCTTTCTTAATAAATGTTATTGCAAGTCATTAGAGTTCCATGAAAGCACGGAGACATATGGGAAAGTCCCAGCAGAATAATTAGGAAAATTTCATATAGACAATATGCCATTCAAGTCTTCAGCACAGAAGACTTAAGAAATTAACAATCTAGGCTGAGGTGATTTAAGAGTTTAAGGAAGTGAATGTTTTGTTTGAACTGCAAATTTTTATGGTACAGTTAATTATAGGTATAACTGTTTTCTCCATTCCTACTTTGTTTTTTCTTTAGTCAACATACTCATTTGCATTATTTCTCTGCATTGATATGTTTACTTATAGCAGTATATTTATACTTATGCATATAATTTTATTGTTAGTATTAAATATATTTTTTCCTAGATTTTTCACCTTTATTCCTCACATGTGCCTGCTTTTCACCTAAAAATGAAAGCTCAGGTTTGAAGAAGTAACTTTTAGAAAAGTCTAAGTAGAAATCAATTATTAGCAGTGTTATAAAAATTCCCTCACTCGTTAGAACTTTATCATTATCTTCACATTTTATGTTGGCACATTTTGGCTTGTTGCATGTTGGTTCTAGTGACAACCACTTTTCCTACACTGAATGGAGGTTGAATGACTGTCTGTCAAGAAAGTTACCAAGGAACCTAGACTTTAAATTATACAAAGCAGCCAAATAATTTATAAACGCCTCATTAATTTCTGTCCCTTTAATCATAATGTGATGATCCTCAGTGATGACAGTCATGATATGAGATGGATTCTTCACCAAGAAACTTTTGGTTTCTTTCTTTTGAGAAATGTTGTTAAGTGCTATCAAGTTGCTTGTGACTCATAGTGACCCTTTGTACAACAGCCATGAACCCTGCTCTATCCTTTGCCAACCTTACTAGCTCTGTCACATCTACCCTGGTAAATGTGGTAAAATTGAAGAGACTTGAAAGAGAGCTATGCACAAATATTATTGGCTAATCCCAGTCAGTGAATTATTGTAAGGAGGCATAGTTTTGGTAGTTTCCCTGATCTATTTCCAGAAAATATTTCTCTTTACTGTTTTCTATTTATATCCTTGAGCATTTTCTGTCTCAGTGGGCTTGAGCGTAGCAGTGATTGTGAAGAAAAGCATTTTGATTGTGATAGAGAAGCATTTTGATCTATTGTCTGTAAAGAGTAGCTCTGTGTCATAGTAGACCTGACAACAATAAGAATACATATTTTCTTCTCCCTCTTATGCTTCAAAAATTGATTTCATAATAACAATTTTTGAGATATTATGGTCTTTACTATAAGTTTTTATTTATACAGAAATATTTGTTTTGTACCCAAAGATTCAGCTCAATCTTTGTGTCTTTGAAGACATTGACATTTCCTCCAAGATTTAAAATTCTCGCGATATATACCATTTCACTGTATCATAACTATTTTGCAATATCAGTTATCGTCTTAAGACACTAGAGGAATGTAAGTCATTGTGACAATTACATAGTGTGTTCAAGTTGAGATAAAGTGAGAATAATAAATCCTTCACACACCTTATCTTAAAATTTACGGAAATCATTGTACTTATTCTTTTTGTTACATATTCAGGCACAGAAGGTTTGGGATTTAGCATCACTTCCCGAGATGTAACAATAGGTGGCTCAGCTCCAATTTATGTGAAAAACATTCTCCCAAGAGGGGCTGCCATTCAAGATGGAAGACTCAAAGCAGGGGACAGACTCATAGAGGTGAGCGACTTCCCCAAATACTAAGTTCCATAGTCCTGGAAAGGTTCCATTCTCAAGAATGAAATATTTTTACTGCTTCTGTAATAATATAGATCATTTAATAATAATGTGTATCATAAAGTAATACATTCCAAATGTGTTCCTAGTTTTGCTTTTAAAATATTATTTCTTGAGAAGTTGTCTTTTCATTTCATGTACTTGTGACTTTTTAATTATTTAGAACATTTTGCTTATGGGATCACATTTTGCCATCAACTTATGCTGTCTAGTTTATAATATCTCTGAAGACTGTCCATCTCCCATCTTCTGAGAAGCTACCAGTGGATTAGAACTGTTGACCTTTCAGCTAGTTGACATGCATGGTACTCATCGCGCCACTTCTAATTGTTACTATTTTGTACCATCAAGTTGAAACCAACCCATAGCAGAGCCTCCAATGGATTTTTAGGGGAAATAAATTACTTGGGAGGAGATTGTAGCATGTCTTTCTCCTGTGGAACCGTTGACCACACACGTGACTAGAGCACTTTATTTTTTTGTTCTATAACAATAATGTCTAATAGGTTATATTCCTAAATAATTTTGTATTTATGTCCAGTAATATAAAATGGTTATTTAATCTATTGTCAAACAAAGATAAATGGCATAATGTGTCTTCTTGAGAAGAACAAAGAAATTCTGAAATAACAGCATGGAAAAGGAATTGAGAAGTAAGAGTCAAAAATTCCAGAACAGAAAAGAGAACTGCAATTTAAAAAGTAACCTTCTGAGTTTTGATTAATTATTATTTAATGGTTTTTTTTTCAATACATAATCCTATGTCTGGGTTTTGTACATTCACGTAAGTAGGAATAAAAGGGGAAAGAGCTTGGAAAAAGTCTGCTTTATTAGCTATTCTTAATATTTTTGTTGCAGGCTACCTTGTCTGCATTAGCAGCAGCAGATTCTCTACTTCCCAGTTATTTAACTGGATTGTATAGGTAATGCAAATGGTTAACACACTCAACTACTAACTACTGTTTGAACCTACCTGAAGCTGCCTTGGCAGGAAGCCCTGGGATTATTTATTGAAAATCTATGGAGCACATTTCTTTTCTGAGATAAATCAGAATTGACTGAAGGACAATTGGTCTTGGTACCCTGGTGGCATAGTGTTTCAGTACATAGCTGCTACGTGAAGATGCTTCGGTTTGAACTCACCAGCCTCTCTCTGGGGGCTGTTCGGGGAGATATGTATTAATTAGCCTCTGTAAAGATACCACCTTTGAACCCCTGTCGGGTACACTCTACTCTGTCCTACAGTCGAAATCAAGTAAATCATAAAGAGCTTGGTTTAACTTTTAGTACTCAAATATCAACCTTAAAGTTTACTTTTTTAATGTATAGCTCTTTTTCTTGACAGTTTTGTAAGTAGTGAGCTGGACTTTGAGAACAAGCTTTTCTAAAGATGGGTTATGTAGGAAAGGACTGACTTCCAGAATTTCTACCATCTCTGTATTTTGGTGCTAGCCTCCTTAAACATTGCTGCCATTCTGTTTGTCCTATTTTTCTATCTGTGTGTCACTGATAGAGTTTTAATAAAAGAAGAGCTGGAGTACATATTATACTTGGAGTTTTGCTTCCAGAAGGACCACTTGTCCTTGGAGTTTAAATTGGGTAATATTAGTCCAATTTTGCAGCTGTATTATGTTTTTAGTAAGTGTCTCAGCTGCAAATTGAATCTAGTCTTCTTTCCTCATTGTCCCCAAAGTTAAAGTCTGTCCTATTGTCTCTGTCCTATTTTCTTCCTCTCTCTCCCTTCCTTCCCACTTTCCCTCTCTTGTTCTCTGTTCTTTCCTTTCAAAACATAGCCACTTTGATTTTGGATCTCTTTGACTCATTCACATATTGCTATTTTAGACATACCACAAGGACTTTTTCTTTTTGGAAAGTTGGAAAAGCATGAAACTTGTTTTTTATTTTTCCTTCTAGAAATTAACTTCCATTTCTGTAGTTGTCAACTGTCTCTTAAAATTGAAACTTCATTTTCACATAATTTAAACCTATTTTTTTATGTCTTTAGTCATAGCTCTGCAGTACTTTGTTCTGTAGATAATTTTTTGCTGAGTGTCTGGATCTTTTGTAGTATACATTTTATCAAATAGTATATCTTTTTTTGTGTCTAGAAATACCTTGCTTCATTTCAAGGTGTTGTTACATATATCTTTCCTATAGTTCATTAATTAAAGTACCTTAAGCTATAATAAGTGTTGCTGTTTTGGAGGTTTTTTTTAGTAGTAGGTTGAAGTTTCTAATATAGACTCTTAATTGCTGAAAACTTTTTATAATTTGTCTTACAATTAATTGCCTTAAATAAAAAGACTATCTTTCTAAAAGAGCAATAGAGCATTTTTTTTTTTTTATTTAAACATGAGGAAGGCCAGGTGTACTGCTCTGACAGAAACTTGTAGAATCCCTGGGGCTATTGTCGTTATTTACCCTTCAAACCTGGAACAAACTCATCCCTTGGCTCAACTATCAGCCAAGCAATGGACAGGCCTATGACATGCCCAGTGGCACCTGGAAGCACTCATTCCTTAGAACAACCAGCCATATAAAGTCAAGAGAGCAACGTTTGTCCAAGAATAAAGTCCTGAAGGCATTAAAGGGTAGCATAGAAGGATTAATGGAGTTGAGAATCCCAAAGGTGGAGCAGGGAGAGAGTGACTGCACTGTGAGAATTATAGAATTCGAATGCGTAGGGATGATTGAGTAGAAAGCCAATTTTCACTCAAATCATAATTAAAAATTAGAATAAAAAGAGAATAGTATTGTTTGCTCTTTTGTTTCTACTTAAGAAAACCTATGTGTTAGTGCTTTCTGGTAATGACACTGTATTCCCCATGAGAGAAAAGTGATGAGCTTCCCTAGGAACTGAATGTCATAAATCTTTTCTTCTGGCTGGAATTCTCCTAAAGCCTCTTTAAAAAGAGTGAAATGTTGTTTTCTTTACAAATATATTGTCATTATTTTGTAGTGATTATACTTTAATTTTACATTTTAAAAGGTGACATCAACTATTTCTTCATCATTTCCCTTAAAAACAAATTGAAAGTTAAAAGATTTATTTCAGAGTGGTTTTTTTAAATGTGGTTTTATGGCGCTCTATAAGATCACTTCCATTTTGTTTTGGTTAAAGAGTATCTGTATCATATGATGCCATCAACATATTTCTGTTCAAAGTCAGCAAGTTTTGTGTTAACTTGACATTTTAAATGCCCCAGTGGTTTTGGTTTATTGATGAATGCTAAAATATTTACCATTACAATTTTATGTCTAGAGAACTGGTGTATTTCTTTCTCAACTCAAACTCACACCCAGAGAGACACTGCCTTTGGGCTAGCAGCCCAGCACCCTACAGACTACCGCTCCAAATCCCAGTCTTACCCAGTTATTGATGAATTTATCATCAAATAATTTGTGCTCCACAGCAGACATGGGCAGTCCTGGGATAGGTGAGATCTTGTTTTGTTTGCCCTGAACTGCAACTGAAAACCTTCTATTTGTTTTAGGTAAACGGAGTGGATTTAGCAGGCAAATCCCAGGAGGAAGTCGTTTCTCTGCTGAGGAGCACGAAGATGGAAGGGACAGTGAGCCTCCTGGTCTTTCGTCAGGAAGACGCCTTCCACCCGAGGGAACTGGTGTGTAACTGTAGAGCTGGAGAATGGTTTCTGATGACCACGCCTCATGTGGCTGCCTTTAGCAAATGTTTATTGAGGCATATTCCAAAGACTTCCATATTTTATATTTCCCTCTGCTTAAGTCTAATGCAAGCATTCTTTCTCTTATGCCCTTTGACTTTTAGAAATAGATATCCACAGTCATGAGAGTTGGGATGTTTAAAGATCAGATGTAGAGCTATTGGCTTAGGCAGCAAATGTTGATACTGCACCGTGTTCCGATGGTCTGGTTGAATACAGAGACGTTGATTATTTCATAACTATCACTCCAAAGGCTTGGATTGAAAGCTTGCCATCTTCTCCAGTACATATGACACGTTTTTTTTACAGTACGTGTAGGTGAGCCAAATTAGGGTGTCATTTCTGTTGTGTGAAAAGCAGTATTTGTTTAAAGTTAAAAGGCTTTAAGTATCAATGCACACCCTTGACTATTCATTCCCATTATAGATAACATAATTTAGAGAAGATGTAAATGAAATTGGAAATTAATTTGCAGCCACTTCTTGCACTCTTAATGGATGCTTGAGAATGTCTTAGACTTGTTGGGGGGAGATTTGTATGGTATTGGTGTGTGTGAAATATTGTCTGTTGAAGTAACAGTTGTGTTTTTTTGTGTAAAAAATGCTAGATTTTATTTATACCTAAAATTCTATAATTAGAGAAGTTACCTAATGTTTTGTTGTGGTGAGAAACTGTTTCACTTCAACTTCATGTGGTATTTTAAGTATTTTTAAAACATTATGGTTGGATCAATTCTAAATAGCTGACATCTCTTTCTGGAATCATTTACCCTTTTTTTCTAAGTAATAATTAATCTTTATAAACTGTACTGACAAACATTTAGGGGCACAGTTCCCAAATTTGTCATATAGCCTAATTGCCTTAGGCTACAATTTCACGTATGGGTATGTCATGGTCGATAACATTTTTCTTTCATTACAATCCAGATAATTTTCCATCCTATAACTATATGATCTGTTGGTCACACATTTAACCTCTTGCAACTTTGTGGAAATTTTAGCTTGTGAAAGGCTTTAAAAAGGAACACTTTTGTTTTTAGGTAGATTTTGAACAAACTGTCGAAATGCCTTTATTTGTATTGGAAAATGTTTAATGCATTCTTTCTCAATTGAAATTCAGTTTCCCATTTTTCTCCTACTGTTATCCAATTTTGTGCTTAAAATGCCACCTGATCCTAAATCTGGAGATGCCTCTATTAAATTGTAAATGAGCACTTTAAAAAAAGGGGGGGGGAATCAGCTTTAAACATGATTTGATGGCTTTGTTTCTTCCTCACTAGATCTGAGCCTGGGCAATGGTTAGCATTATTAGATTGCCAAAGCTTGACGCACTGCTCTTAAGCAGTGTTTTCAGAGTTCTTGCCAACTTATACCCAGCTTAGGGTTATTCAGATTTTTCTCGTCCAATTTTGATTTTCCAGGCTTCTGTTTTTCCCTTCTGCTGCCTATTTTGTTGTTTTCTTTCTTTCTTCTTCTTTTTTTTTTTTTGTTAATTTATTGCTTGTGAGCTTTTCATTTACACTAGTAGGCCGCCATTCTATTGTGTACATTGTCTTTCTAGAATTAAAAGAATGAACTTTAGTTATAGAGGGCATTTGAAATATTTATTGTTGCATCACACTAGCACATTTTTATCTTCCTCTGTTTAGAGTGTCTGGGTTTAGATTCTGTGTCTAAAAGAAATACTTTTATTAAGTACTTTTTAATAAATGGACCTTTAAGTATCTGTGTAACTAATACTTTTAAATGAATGGACCTTTAAGCATCTGTGTAACTAAAGCAACTTTACATATGAAAAAAATCATATTTATCCCTTATGTAATTTTGTAAGTATAATATTCGTGGTTCAGGCTGTGGTTCAGACTGTTATTATCTGGTCTAGCTATCAAATTATCATAGGCATTATAATTTAGGTATAGTTGGGAGCATTAAAGGGAAAAAAAACCTACCACCCCCAACCATATTAGAAATAGAGCCATGATTAGGAAAAGCAGTTTGGGGGAATTTATTTCTCTTCAAAGTAGTTTATACTTGCTCATAAAAATTTACATCTGGAAAAAATCTTAATGCAAACACATACACACATACTCATGCACTTCTAAAAATATATATAACCATATTAGTGACAATTTAGAAGACAGAGTGACTCAGAAGAATAAATATAATCATACTTTATATATTTTGTGGATTCGGGGAACCAACAACGTTTAAGTAAAGCTTTATATCCCTGTGTGTTGAAGATGGCTTTGGTCAGTCTGTATTTATGTTTCTCTTCAATTCTTCTAGAATGCAGAGCCAAGCCAGATGCAGATTCCAAAAGAAACGGTAAGAGCTTTGTCTTTTGTAGGATGTACAGATGTTGAAAAGATAAAATGAAACTAACCTCTTACTAATTAAACACGAAATTCTGTATCTTCCTTCTCTTTTCATGGCTCATAGGAGGTAATATGTAGGTTTATGAAATCCCCAAGTGGTCTTATTTTAAAATGATTTATTGCTATTTCCCCAAACCCAGTGTTTTGTGATTATTTTTTTGCTCCTTGGGCATAGAGAAAGAATGAAACGTTATGAGTAACTCCCCATTCATTGTTTAATCAGAGTGAATCATGATTGATGAGCCTAATGACAAATATGGAAGGTAGTTTAGAAATTGTAAAATGCCAACTTATAAACGACTACAAAATTTAAGAAAGGAAAACCAAAACTTGACTCAGTTGTAGGGGGAAATTCAGGGAGAGCTGAAAGAATACAATAAATATATATCACAAACACTAAAATTAGAACCATGTACCAGTAATTAGAATAAACATTTCATTTGCCACAATAACGATAAAGGAAGTAATTTCTAATCAAGCACTCCCAGATGAGGTTAAAAAACCCAAAATAGTTTTGTCCCCTGCAGAAGACAAATCTTAATACAGACTGAGGATGAAAGAGCATGTTGAGTTCCAGCAGGCAGCCAGTGCTGTGAAAGTTAGATTTCAATATCAGTATCTATGAAAGTATTTTAGTGTAATTACAATACATCAGAAACGAAGAGGGGGTATTGTATACCAACATATAATATAATATGTTCTTCAGTAGCAATCCAATATTCAATCTTTCCTACATCAACCTAATTCCTAGATTTGTTCATGATGTGATAGAATTTAAAAGCTTAGGGAGCTCTGGTGGCCTAGTAGCAAGAAGCTGCACTGCAATCCCAGAGGTAAGCGGTTCGAATCAATCAGATGTTCTACTGGAGGAGGGGCAGTCTCCTCCTGTACGAGCCAGATCCAATTTGACGGTACACACACACACAAAAGAATAAAATTTTTTTTAAAAAATTGAAAAGCTTCTGTTTTTAAGAAGGTAGTTAAAAAATCTTACTTGCAAGGAAATAATGTAATAAAACTATAGCTGTAACAGGTGACTTTAATACACATCCTCTCCCAAATTGATTTGCCTACCTCCTAAAATACAGATATATAAAATATATTAATAGCATGATGAGCAGGTTTGATTTTCTATACATATTCTTTTCCAGACAACTTTGCACTCAGTATACAAGCAAATAAGAAGCATGTTATTTTTTAGATATTTCATGATTACAAAAAGCGATCACAAACTAGGTAATAGATGAAAATCAGTAATCATAAGAATTTTGCACATTTATAAACCTAGATTGTAGAACATGTGTAGTGTGTGTGTGTGCCTGTGTAAATAACTATATTAGACACCATTTATCAAAACCAGGATTCTGTGTGTGTGTACACGTGCATGCATGTGTGTGTGCATGGTATTTTTTAAGACAGTAAGGGCGACAAATTGAATCTTAAGAATATAAAGAATGAAGTAGGACAAATACATCAGTTACACCATAATTAGATCAGCTTAATACTGTTATAAGTTTAGATAAATAGATCATTTGAACAGATTGGAACCTCTAGAAACAAGCATGAAATGTATATTTATGCATGCCTGAACATTTGCTTTCTGTGCGTTTTAAACATTACATTTTAAATGAATGGTCAAGAATGGGTTATTTAGAGTTGAGAACATTTGACCATTCACTTGTAAAAGATAAAATTATATTACTCTTCCTCATCATACACAAAAAAGAAATCCTCGCTTCTTACTTATTTTTGTAATCCCTTTGACTGTTCCTACACATTTGTTTATGATATTAAGCCTGAAAGTAGATCATTCACTTTGGATTTTGAATGTTTGTCCAAGCATGACAACCCAAAATGTCATAAGAGAGTAGACTGACAGGATTATTTAAAAATTATATAAAAATGGAAATGTTTCTGTGGCAGTAACCATGAAAGACAAGCTGTGATGGGGGAATATTTGTATCTGCATCCTCAAGTGAAGAATAATTTCTTTTGTAGTTTGGACTCTTAAAGTCATAGCATTTTCATTTGTTTATTTTTTGTAAATGGGGTGACTTCATATGAACTGCACTGGTTGAAACACAAGAAAATCTAAGGAAATAAGAGATGATACAAGTAGTAAATGTAGGCACTATCTAGCAAAATATATAGTCTGCCTTGTTGAGGAAACAAAAGACAAACCATTATCTTCATAATTGTTGAGGGGAAAAGAAACATTGCTTTAGATGTTGTATTAAGAAACAGTCTGAGGAGTGAGCTGTATGAAGAAGAGCAAGGCATCAGGACTAGAAGAAGGCAATAGTCAAGAAATCCAATTATTAACATGCATTACTGCAAATATGTAGGGAAAATACCTCTTTGGAATGTTAAGTGATCAAAGATGTTCCTTTGAAGACTTAAGGTGTACTTGGGTACATATGTAGTGTGTGTGTGTGAGATAAACATATATAACACACACTGTATATTCAGTTGCTTTGTATGCATATGACTAAACCATAAACTACGAAGACCTAAGAGAAATGGAAGCATTTGCATTGTGCTTTGGAAAAGACCACAGAGTATACCA